TTCGGTATGCATGGTATTACAATCCACCTGTAAAAAACTGTTTGTTTTTAAAATCTTTGTGAAATAATCCAAACCATATATTGGCTCTTTGGTTGTTTTTAACCTCACAGACAGACATATGATTGGTTCAAAATGATATAAATCCACGGCTTAGAAAACACATCAATTTGGAAGGCTCTAGCCCAACGACTGCTGCACGTCAATTACTCCACGGATTGAACCCAATTGGTTGCTTTGCTCAACAACACAACCATCCCGCGGCTCAACCTCTTCTTGTTTAGGTATGTCTTCCAAGCTACTCTTTACCACATATGGCGCGAGAGAAATGCAAGAAGACATGGAGAACTTCAGTCCCCTATAACCCGACTCATCAAACTCATAGACAAGACCGTTCGAAACCGCATCAGCGCTATCAAAGACTTGGGAGATCATCGATACGGTGACGGCCTAAGCTTGTGGTTCTCTACTCAATCAATTCCATAAACAAGACCTTGACACTTCTCTAAACTCTATATTCTGCCTTTAATGTCTTTGATAGATTTGGGCTTTAACATGGGCTTCCAACTCAAAACCAATTGGCAATGAGTGGATTGACCCTAACCCTTTATATATCACTTGATAATTTCTCCAACTTCCGATGTGGGACTTTCTCTCATTAACACCCCCCCCCTCACGCTCAGGCATCGTTGGCTTTGAAGCGTGGGCATATGTGGGAACAACATCCACGGGGTGGCCCGATTTGGGACTTCAATAACACCCTCCCTCACGCTCAGGCATGAACATCTAAAGCGTGGGCATATGTGGGAACAACATCCACATGGTGGCCCAACGATCGGGTGGCTCTGATACCATGATAGATTTGGGCTTTAACATGGGCTTCCAACTCAAAACCAATTGGCAATGAGTGGATTGACCCTAACCCTTTATATATCACTTGATAATTTCTCCAACTTCCGATGTGGGACTTTCTCTCATTAACACCTCCCCTCACGCTCAGGCATCGTTAGCTTTGAAGCGTGGGCATATGTGGGAACAACATCCACGGGGTGGCCCGATTTGGGACTTCAATAACACCCTCCCTCACGCTCAGGCATGAACATCTAAAGCGTGGACATATGTGGGAACAACATCCACAGGGTGGCCCAACGATCGGGTGGCTCTGATACCATGATAGATTTGGGCTTTAACATGGGCTTCCAACTCAAAACCAATTGGCAATGAGTGGATTGACCCTAACCCTTTATATATCACTTGATAATTTCTCCAACTTCCGATGTGGGACTTTCTCTCATTAACACCATTCTATCTAATTTCTTCAAAAAACAGATGCATTCATTGTACATATAGTTTTTTTGGTTGAATATATTTTTACATTCATTCAAAAAAAAAAAAAACTTCATATCGGGGAAAAGTTAAGAGGTGATGAATATGGATAAAGTGGAGATACAGTCCTAATCCGGCTTTTACAGCAATGCCTGAGAGATGTTTTTAGTCTTTTAATTAGAAAATATTCGAGTTAGCAAAAATAATATCAAACGCCAGACCCTATCAATAATACAAAATCCACTGCCTTTCGATAGATTCGTTTGTGCGAATTTTTCAGTTTTTTTAATAATTTATTTTCCGTTCACACACCTATTGCTATTGATGGAATTATTAATTTATTACGACAAACATGTTATATGTATGAATGTATTATGCTTCTAAGTTCTAAACTATTGACAGAATGATCTATTTAAAGTGAAATATAGGTAAATAAATTGTTCCACGTTCTGCTGTAGAGGTAAATAACTATTGACAGAATGATATATTTAAAGTGAAATATAGGTAAATAATTATTGACAGAATGATATAGGTAAGATATATCATAAATTGATTATCCTAATTGCTGGTGGGAAATGGCGAGAACGGTTCTGCTCAATCGTTAAAACAATAGAAGTGGCATACATATAGTTAAAGTGAGAGCTACGACATAGAAAAACATTACATAAATATCAAAGGATGAATTCTTGTGGTAAAATAAAAATATATAAGTAAAATGAATATCTTTAAGCAGTAGTAATACTCTTTGGCAAAAAAAAAAAAGAAGAAGCAGTAGTAATACTGAAATAATTGTTTTTTTTTTTTTGACATCTTTGGATCGACAATGTCCAATCCATAGCCAATCCATACTATGCGGGGTAACGCGACTTAGTGGAGTCGAACTCCGGTGGGAAAGGCGGAGTCAAGTAGACTTAACCACTTGACTAAAGGCATATCCCCGTTTAATATAGTGGTTTAGTCGCCTGAATAAAATTTTTGGGTATTGCTTAATGTTATCCCAATCGGCCCATCTTAATTATAATTAGTAATAAGTGCCCTAGCCTGGTTTAGTAAAAACAAAAAGAAACCAAACGAACATGTTCTTGATTCTTGAAGTGATGGATGATATTGCTTCCCTTCAGTCTTTTATGGAATCTTCTCAACTTTCACTTTTAATGGTTTTAGTATCTTGAATCCTTTTTGACAGTCTCAAAGCTCGTTTAATTTGTTTTCTCTTTTCAATTATTATAATTAAAAAAAAACTTAGCACGCTAAATATTTTTATTTTCCTAAAAATGTTCTGATTCTTACTCTATATTGGCCTTCTGAAAAATCAAGGACAACAGGGAATTTTATCACTCTTCACTTATTGTTTATTTGTTTTCTCTAAAGATTAAACCATATGTCGAGTTTTAATAATAATGAGATTGCATAGTGCCTACTCCATTAAAAGTACTGGACCAACCAACTCTATGCTTCGTTGCCTTCGTTGGTCCAATTTAAAGCAGAACAAATTTTTTTTTTTTTTTTTTTTGGTAAAAGGTGAAGTAAAAGCAGAACAAATTCTTAAACGACTATAATTATTATCCATCAAAGCGATTATGCAAAAGTAAACTTTGTTAATAACAATGAAAGCAATATAGGCATTTAAGAAATGCGTATAACTTTCACGTGTAAGCACTTTGAGAGGTCCAAAATAACTTGCACAAATGACATCAAGGAGCGCATATAAATATTTTTTTGCCCAAAAAAAGAAAAAGAACAAAAAAAGAGAGAGCATATAATATGTTGATTTTGAACTCGTTTTTCTAGGTTAGTTTCTTTATTCTGTAGCTTTGAATTTGTTTTAATAGAAAATGTGGTCGTTTTTTTGTCAACAAAAATGTGGTCTTTTTACATGTTGATGTTTTGTTGTGACAAAAAAACGTATATATGTCTTGTACTTGTTAGAAGAAACTCCGATGTTTGGTTTTTAAAGTTTGAATATATGCCACTACCATAGTACCATGTGTTTGTAAAACAAAAACGGAACAATAATGTTTACAATCTCTAGTTTATTAAATCGGGTTAGCTGGTAAAAATTCATTATTAAATTGATTTATAACTAATTAAATAGAGATAAAACAGTTATCATAAAGGAAGAAAAAAGAAACTAAATCGAGCAAATACTTGAAAATATGTGACGCACAAAACATAGTATATATCAACATGCTAATAGGTTTGCTATTCTAACACCAATTATGGTTTTACGTAAAGTTCAGACGTTTTTATTTGTACAAGTAACGGAATACTAAATTGCATGTCGTTGTTGTTATCAATAACTTTAGATTAACGCAAAGTGTAGGAACAAAGAACCAAAAATAGTAAATACGTGTATATGTTTGAAAACGGATAATAACGAATATTAAAGATCATAGAACAAATGACGACGGAAGTAGTAGTGGTAGTAGCAGGAGCAGCAAGGTCCAGTCGAAATCACTTGGCATTTGGCAAACAAAGTCATCGTAACGTATTATAAACAATAATATCAACTTCTCCTATGCATAATGCGTTTCCATTTATTTAGATTCTAAGATTATCTGCAGAATAAAATAAAACAGAAAAGAAGATGACAGGATTACGAATAAGTATGGTAAATTCTGAACCCATTGTTTCTGAGTGGGGAATTTTTTTATTAATAATAATTGATATCAAATCTGAACTATAGTACAAACTTTGTTTTTTTTCCCTAAAGTATATGGAAATACGGATTTCGAAAATTTTGGTTCGAATAATAATAAAGCCAATCATCATCGGATTAGAGACCCATTTGGTCGGAATTTTGGTTGATTTTATACTTAATATACTAATAATAAATAAATAATATAAAGTAAACTGAAACTAAGAAAAAACACCACAAATTGAAGAAGAATCTTATATACAATAATAAAAATAGTTTGGTTATGGTCAATTTGAGCCCAATGCCAATATGTATTCTTTTATGAAAACTCAGTAAGAATCTAACCGAATTATTTCCCGACTCGGTTTATTCGGTTTACGAATTCGAGGTACCGATTCGGCTACATGCTCTGTTACTTTCGCTTTCCTGTTGGTCAATTATGATTGAATTCAGGTCAACCAATGTTTGGTGAAATAATTATAAATGGGCCTTGTATCAACAGTTGGCCCAAATTACAAGTCAAAATTGGAAACCCAAACATCTTACCAAAACAATCCAATCCATTAACAGGTGATCGTTTATTAGCTTATTCTCACGGCCCAGTGTTACCTTAGTTTGATTGGATTGTTTCTAAGCTATTTATTTTGTTTACCAAATTTATTAGCTGGTGCATCTGTTGGAACCTTAAGCTATTTATTTTCTTTACCAATTCCACATAAAATAGTTTAGGATAAAGTGAAATTGTCTTTTTTCAAACACGTTCTCTTACCTTTGTTAACAAGCAAAACAACATGTGCTCTTCCATTATTTCATTTTCTGCAAACCCTTAATGTATTATGGGCCCAAAGCCTGCCACAAACATGTGCACAATATTACAAAGAAACTCTTAAAAAAACAAAAACAAAATGAAACATTCTTTTTTAGCAATTTGTATTTTAATATCCCAGTCAAATAAAACTCAACTGAAAATATTCGAAGAAAAAAACAAGTAATTTTAAAATTTGGAAACTGTACACTAGAGAAAGAAACGGACCATTTTTAAATTTTGAATTTGGGAAAAAAACAAAATCGGCGCCTCTTAGAGATAATTGGGGTAAAAAACAAAAAAACAAACAGAGAGAGCAATAATAAAAACTCACTCACTCACACTTTTTTCATTTCTCAAAAAAACCCTAAAGCTCTCTCTTCTCTCCCGATTTCGATTTCCGAGCCTCGAGAAAACCCTAAATCGTTCACTCATTCAACCAAAGATGCGTGAGATTCTTCACATCCAGGGTGGTCAATGCGGTAACCAGATCGGTGCCAAGTTCTGGGAAGTGGTTTGCGCCGAGCACGGCATCGATCCAACCGGAAGGTACACCGGAGACTCAGATCTGCAACTTGAGCGCATCAACGTTTACTACAATGAAGCCAGTTGCGGTAGATTCGTTCCTCGTGCTGTGCTCATGGATTTGGAGCCTGGGACTATGGATAGTCTCAGATCTGGACCGTACGGTCAGACCTTTCGACCTGATAACTTCGTCTTTGGTCAATCCGGTGCTGGTAACAACTGGGCCAAGGGTCACTACACCGAGGGAGCTGAGCTAATCGATTCCGTTCTCGATGTTGTTCGTAAGGAGGCTGAGAACTGTGACTGTCTCCAAGGTAAATCTTCTTCGTCTTCCTCTAGATCTGTTTGATTTTAGGGTTTATTATGCTTTACTAGTGTTTTGAACAGTGAGATTTGCTCTGTAGGGTTCCAGGTTTGCCATTCGTTGGGTGGAGGAACTGGATCTGGAATGGGAACACTTTTGATTTCTAAGATCCGTGAAGAGTACCCAGATCGAATGATGCTCACATTCTCAGTGTTCCCTTCACCAAAGGTTTCTGATACTGTGGTTGAGCCTTACAACGCTACTTTGTCTGTTCATCAGCTTGTTGAGAATGCTGATGAGTGCATGGTTCTTGATAACGAGGCCTTGTACGATATTTGCTTCAGGACTCTCAAACTCACTACCCCCAGCTGTAAGATTTCATTATCCAGTTGTGCTATTTACAAATCTTAAGATTAGTTGTTGTGTGCTTAAAATGCTTTGTCTAGATTGTGTTTATGTCAATAATTGGTATCAAATTCAGATCTGCAAGTATCTGTGCATGACTTATTGTATTCTTACTGTTTCCATTGGTTTGGTCTTGATTATGTCATAGTTTTGTATCTGAATTCTGATTTGCAAGTCTCTGTGTATAACTTATTGTGTTGTTACTGTTTCTCGTCGTTTTGTACATGCCTTTAGCCTCTTGTTTTGTGTGATATTGTTTCTGTTTACCTATTTTGATCTCATCACCCCAGTAGGTCCTTAAGCTGCTCTGATTGGAACAATACTTTCTGGTTAAGTTATATCTGGTACTTATTGTTACATGATGGATAATTCATTGATGATCCTTTGATTTCTGAGAGTTAACTGTCTGCTTTGATGCTGTGCTCATCATACTGTTTGTATATGTCTATAGCTTACACATACTTGGTTTATTCTCTATTTGCAGTTGGTGATTTGAACCACTTGATTTCTGCCACTATGTCTGGTGTGACTTGCTGTCTGAGGTTCCCTGGTCAGCTCAACTCTGATCTCCGTAAGCTTGCTGTGAATCTCATCCCTTTCCCTCGTCTTCACTTCTTCATGGTGGGTTTTGCTCCTCTCACCTCAAGAGGTTCTCAGCAGTACCGTTCCCTCACAGTCCCTGAACTCACCCAGCAAATGTGGGACTCCAAGAACATGATGTGTGCTGCAGACCCAAGACACGGACGTTACCTCACAGCCTCTGCCATGTTCCGTGGCAAGATGAGCACAAAGGAGGTAGACGAACAGATGCTGAATGTGCAGAACAAGAACTCGTCCTACTTTGTCGAGTGGATCCCCAACAATGTGAAATCAACAGTCTGTGACATCCCACCTACTGGTCTGAAGATGGCTTCCACTTTCATTGGTAACTCAACATCGATCCAAGAGATGTTCAGGCGTGTGAGTGAGCAGTTCACAGCTATGTTCAGGAGGAAGGCTTTCTTGCATTGGTACACAGGTGAGGGAATGGACGAGATGGAGTTCACAGAGGCAGAGAGCAACATGAACGATCTTGTTTCAGAGTACCAGCAATACCAGGATGCAACGGCAGATGAAGAAGGTGACTACGAGGATGAGGAAGAAGCTGAATACCAACAGGAGGAAGAGTACTGAGAGTAATTTAGTTATAAACTGCTTTAAAAAAAAACAATTTAGTCGTTTGCTACTGTTTTCTTTTTAAAAAAAAAAGGAAAACCTCAACTACCAGTTGCAGGTTTTTTCTCTGCTTGTATTTGACATATCTGGTGATGTTTATGTACTTTTGTTCTTAATCTCGTTATGGTCTTTAGTTTGAATCTACTTTTAAGCTATATTGCCTCTGACGTTTCTATTAAGATTTTCAGAAAGCTGCACTCTCTTAAAGCTTTGGCCTTCTTCTTCTAGGTCTTGTGAGTAAGGTAGGGATCTAGAAGTAGATTAAGGTAAGGATTTGTGAGTTGTGACCTAAGTACAGGCATCTGCCCCCATTTCCATATCTGACCCCAACTCAAATTTATCACTGTTCTGAAAATACTAAGTGATGGCTTCTTTGTCATAACGAAACATTAACAATAGCGCCTCTGGTTTTATTCATTTGAATTTTGAGCGTTTCCATTCCTAATTTGAAATTAGAGTGTTAAAACTTAAAACCATCGGTTCTAAAACTCGGTTGTTTAAACTGCCTAAAGGCCCAAACCAAATTCCCCACACCTGCCTAGCTTAAAGATTGACTAACCTTTGGGCTTTGGATTTCTTCATTTGTTTTATAAGCTCGGCCCATTATTGTGGCAATTAAGTTACAGTCTTCGAGAGGAAAAAAAAAAAGCAGATAAGAAATTTAATTTTGATGTAATTTTTTTTTTTTTTTTTCCCTCAAAAAAAATGTTGCTATGAAATTATTACGTTCGGAAAAAATAGGGACGAACGACATTAATGTTAATACTCTTGAAAATTATGTCAGATTACACATTATTTTACAGATCTCTCAGACAAAGTAAATACAAAAACGACAGAGTTTTAGATAACTTTCACTCGCTCCTCAAGTACAATCTACAAATTACTCGCTTTCCATAACTGCCACGTGTACTGTCTGAGTTAAAATTTAGCGAGTAAGTTTTAAAACTGTACTCGCGAGTGTTTTTGATTGGCACAAAGATTTTTGAATTATGTCTCCGCACAACGGGTCTCAGTCTCTCTCTCTCCTCTGCACAACTCTCCAAGGGTACAGATTTTGAAAAATCTCTCCTTTCACTTAGCTCGAAAAGAAGAGGGAAAAACAAAAACCAAAATAATAAAACAAAAAGGAGATAAATTAAAGAATTCTTTTTAGGAAAAACAAAAAGTAAAGATTTTTCATCATGAGTCTTCTTCCTCTTCCTCACACCCAATCACTACAAATCTCTCTCCATTCTCGAATTAGGGCACTCTTTTGGGGTTAAAAAATCTCATCTTTTCGTGTTTGAACCTTAAGAAGTTTCTCTTTTGGAATCAGTGAAATGGGTATCTCAATTTGGGTTTTCTCAGTAATTTCTGCAGCTACCCTTTTCGTTTCGTGCTCCTCCGCTCTCACTCCTGATGGTTAGTCAAATCCCACTTTTCTCATAAGTCCTTTACTTTTTTGGTTGCTGAGAAATCTGAGATTTGATCATCAGGTTTTTCAACTAGCTCACGAAGTTGTTGATGTTTGTAGGATTTGCTCTTTTGGAATTGAAGAGTGGATTCAATGATACGAGGAACTCTTTAGAGAACTGGAAAGATTCAGATGAGTCTCCTTGTTCTTGGACTGGTGTCTCCTGTAATCCTCAAGACCAGAGAGTCGTCTCTATGTAAAAAATGCTCTTCTTCTTTATTGAAGTCTCAATCTTTCGGTTCTTTCCTTTACTTGATTATGTTTTCTTTTGTGGGATTATGCAGAAACTTACCATACATGCAACTAGGAGGGATAATATCTCCTAGCATTGGAAAGCTTAGTAGATTGCAGAGACTGTGAGTAGTAGATTTGGTTTTTATGCTAAATTTTGTCTTTTTAAGTAGTTTGTTTGATTCAAAATTTGGTGGGAGTTATGTAGGGCACTTCATCAGAACAGCTTACACGGGATAATCCCTAATGAAATCACCAATTGCACTGAGCTCAGAGCCATGTAAGTCAGATTTTTGCAATTAAGCAGTAACCTTTTAATAATTGGGAATATCAAACCTATGGTTAGTATTGAGCCATGAACATTGGTGTATCTGTTTAAACATGTTTTCAGGTATTTGAGAGCAAATTTTCTTCAAGGAGGGATTCCACCGAACCTCGGCAACCTTACATTTCTTACGATATTGTAAGATTCAAATTTGTTCTACTGTTTTAGTTTCTCAGCTTTTTGTTCTTTTCCTATTTGATCATTTTCAAGAACTTGTGATGTTTGGGACTTTTTTCAGGGATCTATCAAGCAATACACTGAAGGGTCCTATTCCTTCTTCAATTAGTCGATTGACGCGATTACGCTCCTTGTAAGTACAAACGGAATCTCATGTTTAGATGTAGCTGTGCAAGATTTATCAGTTTAATGTATCTGCTCTTGAACTCTATGTTTGATTCAGGAACTTGTCAACCAACTTTTTCTCTGGTGAGATCCCGGATATTGGAGTTCTCAGCAGATTTGGGGTCGAAACGTGAGATTTCTCTTCTATATAACTGGTTGTTTTAACATCATCAAGAATTTTAAAAAAATTTCTTGCTTATGGTAGACTAAGATGTAATTTCTGATTATTGTTTTGTGTCTTTATGGTTAGATTTACCGGTAATTTGGATCTTTGTGGCCGGCAAATTCGCAAGCCATGTAGATCATCAATGGGTTTCCCTGTTGTTCTTCCTCATGCAGAAACTGATGATGAATCAGGCAAGATCCTATTAGTTACCTCAATCATCGATTCTTGAGGCTTCCTTTGGCTAAACTTTCTGATTCTTGGTTTCTCTTATAAAATTCCACACAGATCCTCCAAAGCGGTCATCGCGGTTAATTAAAGGAATTTTGATTGGAGCAATGTCTACAATGGCTCTTGCATTCATTGTGATCTTTGTATTCCTCTGGATTTGGATGCTCTCAAAGAAGGAAAGAACAGTAAAAAAGTACACTGAAGTCAAGAAACAAAAGGATCCATCCGAAACAAGTAAAAAAATTTGCATAAAAGAGAAAAAGTAGTTTTCTTTTCCTCATGCTTATCATTTTTCTAAATTTGGTTTCTTCATTTGACTATTAAAAGGTAAAAAGCTTATTACTTTCCATGGCGATCTTCCATACTCCTCGACTGAGCTGATCGAGAAGCTAGAGTCTCTTGACGAGGAAGACATTGTGGGTTCGGGAGGATTTGGCACTGTTTATCGAATGGTAATGAATGATCTTGGAACCTTTGCGGTTAAGAAGATAGATAGGAGTCGAGAAGGATCAGACCGAGTTTTTGAGCGAGAAGTAGAGATTTTGGGTAGTGTCAAACACATCAATCTAGTGAACCTACGTGGATACTGCCGCTTACCGTCTTCAAGACTTCTCATCTATGATTATCTAACCTTAGGAAGCTTAGACGATCTTCTCCACGGTAAATGCAGTTATGCATATTTTATCTTCATTTTGGTTTGCGATGCGTCATATTGATCTTGTTCCGGTTTCTTTATCTCTCAAGAACGAGCTCAAGAAGACGGTTTGTTGAATTGGAATGCTCGGTTGAGAATAGCGCTAGGTTCCGCGAGGGGTCTAGCGTACTTGCACCATGATTGTAGTCCCAAAATAGTTCACCGTGACATAAAATCGAGCAATATTCTACTCAATGATAAACTAGAACCTCGAGTCTCGGACTTTGGTCTTGCAAAGCTTCTTGTGGACGAAGATGCTCATGTTACCACCGTGGTAGCTGGCACCTTTGGCTATCTTGCTCCAGGTTCTGTTCTTTGCTAACTACTTTTTTGAATCTTGGAGAATAAATCACTAAATTTACTGACTTTCGGATGATTCTTGGACAATAATTTCTAAATATCTGATGAATCTTGGAAACAGAGTATCTGCAAAATGGGAGAGCAACCGAGAAATCTGATGTCTACAGCTTTGGAGTTCTTCTCCTTGAGCTCGTTACAGGAAAGAGACCAACAGACCCGATATTCGTCAAAAGAGGCTTGAATGTTGTCGGATGGGTAAGAAAACTCCTCAAATTTTTTCCCGAGAAGAATCGTTCTGTTTTTTACTTCCCAAGATTCGGTTTCTAAAATAATGTTCTCTCTCAGATGAACACTGTGTTGAAGGAGAATAGATTAGAGGATGTAATAGACAAGAGATGCACCGATGTTGACGAAGACTCTGTTGAGGCATTGCTCGAGATAGCGGCCAGATGTACGGATGCTAACCCAGAGGACAGGCCGGCTATGAACCAGGTGGCTCAGTTGCTTGAGCAAGAAGTCATGTCACCTTCTTCTGGTATCGATTACTACGATGATTCTCATTCCGATTACTGTTAGGGCTTATGCACGACTAAAGGTAACCAAGAAATCACTAGGCCAGCGGCGGTTTTTCGTTGTTGTTGCTGCGTTATGAATGTTGTGATTTGGGATCGAGAGGATTTGTTTGTAAATTAGAAATGGAAGGTGGAGTAAAGATTATTGAGTGTGCCTTGTTCTTGTGCACTTTATGTTTTTGTAATGAAATTTTCGATGCAAGGCAAAGAGCTGTGTTAATGTCTTCAGGCTTCCTTCTTACGTTGCTTAGCTCTATTAAAGCTGGTGCTCTCACCAGCTTCCTATGTCTACAAACCTGAAAAGCAGAAGACTCTCCATGGCCAAACGTTGCTACGAGAATCATGAACAAGTGCAGAATTTTGTTGGTTTGGTATGCACTAAACAAGACTGTTGACGGGATTCTGTTTTCGTAATGATTATTTTTTCTATGGTTATGCTATTCCGGAAAATGAATGCCAAATATAATAACAAAATTTATCTGATATCACAATTTCGATGTTGCAATTCTATAAGACTAATGCCAAATATACCAACAAAACCACTATTCATTGGTTTCACTAATAAATTAAGGATTCCACGGTGCTACTCTAAACATTTGTATTCTATCCGGTTCTTCGTATTCTCTACACACTTTCATTTATCTTTCTGAATAATTATCTATTATTTATGGAAACGGTATTTCTCTGTAAATCTTCTAATTTGGAAACTGATATCAATAAAAACCATGTTGTTGTTTTTTTTTGCTATCTGAGATAATGCTGAGATTTAGTTACAAACAATCTGTGTTAAAGACTTAGAGTTGATAATTTCTTGATTTTTCTTCTGGAATTTTTTTATATTATCTTCTGAATAATCAAATGACCTTTCGTTTGGTAGAAGAGACTTCGACCATATTCAAGCCCCATCCACCTCTTAAAAGGCCAACGCTTTTTTGCCCTATGTGCTTTGCTAGTTTGCTACACGTACGTATATATCTATAAAATTATTATTCAAATTTATAGTTTAATACAACCATAATTTTGTACATACTTATTAAGCCTTACCCTATACGATACACTATAGTATAGTAATTGATTATATAATTTTACATAAGAGCAATGATATCGTTAGAAGATCCGTAGCTCTTGAAAGATTCGATTCTTTGTGACATAGTGAGTCAATAACTACAGATTATGGAGATTAAAAGAACTATTACTACTAAGGAAAATCTAATTCTGAATTAATGAGTTACATAGTTGTAGTGTACATTGTATGTATGGTGTATTGATACTACTAATTTATATGAATATAAAAAACTACTAAAAGGCAACTAGCAACAAATGATGAAAATTTTACAATTCCGTAATTTTAACAAACATATAATATTTTAACTTGAACAAATATATTGATAACAAAAAATTTAAATACTTGTGTTGATAAAATAATTTCAAGATCATTAAAAAACCTATTTTTATTGCTTGAATATATTTTATATGCTAATCAACGCATAAATAAATACATGCATACATGTATCGTTTGTCTCTCTCCTATTGGCTAAGAAAACAGAGAGAATCGGTATTTTTAGCCTTTGCTAAGATATTTTGATCAAAAATCCCACTTTCGAGCGGTCTTATCTTTATTCTCCACCTCAAAGGACCATTTCTCATGGCTTCTGTTCCGGTGAAACCACTACCTCTTCTTCGCCGGAACATCACCTCGACGACGGCTTCGAAATCATCTCCAATGCTCGCCAACGTTTCGAGCCGGCATTTTCTCGGGATCTTTACGTATAATGAATCCTTGAGGCAAATGAGAACTCCGGCGTCTTTAAGCCACCGCCGGAGAGTAAGTACGGTGGCGTCATCGGCGGGAAACTTGACGGCGCCGTCGTGGGACTCGTGGAAGCCAGATAGGACGGCGGCGGCTACGGCTCTGTTGATGAGTGACGTCATTTGGCCTGCAGCTGGTTAGTCATTTATTATTTACTAATTACTAATTACTAATTCAAGATCACGATTTTATTAGTATTTTTTTTTTGGCAAATATTTTGAGATCATAATTCTTTTACTAATGTCTTCTCGATCTTCAAAATTTTGATGCACTTTGGTTTCTCAATCAGAAGAACTACAAGTGATTAGGGTAAAAAAAAAATTAAAGATGGAAAAAAAAGGAAGAGAGGTGCACAAAAAGAATATAAAATTAGAAAATTAATGGACAATTATATAATATTAATTTCTGACTGAATAAATGATGAATATCGACAAAATATGGAGAGAGTCAGAAAGAGAGAATGTGTCTCTTCTAAGGCCAAATGGTCATTCATATGAACCAAACCGTTCGAGTTTGACCAACTCATACCTTGAACTAGTATTTGACTAAAAGGTGTGATTTTCAGGATAAATGTTAAACTTAGTGTAAGAACGAAGAATTCTAAATAATTTTATTAAAAATATATATCATCTGGAAAAAGTTTTATGGCATAAATATATCCAAAGATTAAGTAATTGTTAGTTAAAGTAAAATATTTGAATCGTGGCATGTTGTATTTGACTATGTTTGCAAATTACCTAAATGATGGGAAATATGCATGTAGTCAAACTCATTTGTTTCTATTTTTTTCTTCGTGAGAGAATCTTAGTTTGCGTTTAGTCAAACCCTATGCTGACAGAGAGCTTATATTATTTATTAATTATTCAAGGTTTATAGCTGACTTCATCCAATTAATATGAAACTATATTCATGTGTGTGTCAGCTATAAATTCGTTAATTACCCATCTATAGTTTCAACTTGATCTGAATTTCACCGGACCATGTTGTCATGATGTAATATTTTTGGAATTAAATTTTGTTAAAGGTTTTGTATCTTATTAATAACTTTTGGTTAGACCCTTAACCAAAAAGTGAGTTTAATACCATTTGTTTTGGTTTCTTAATTAAGTCTTGTGTTTGAGTAGGAGCGTTTGCGGCAATGGCAATATTGGGAAGAATGGATCAAATGCTATATCCAAAAGGGATTTCAATGTCAGTTGCACCACTTGGTGCTGTCTCCGCCATTCTTTTCATCACTCCTTCTGCTCCTGCTGCTCGGGTAAAATTTTACCGCTTTTCCATATAATAGCGGTCTATTATATTTGCGGTTGAACGCAAACGCTTCATTGTCTTTTCTATAAGAGACACAAAATGCAAATACCAAAAGTGAGTTGTTAGGATTTGAATGGTGTATAACAAACATAGAGAAATTAAAAAGTGAAAAGTAAAAGTAGTAGTAGTTAAATGAAATATTTTCCCACTAACTCTTACATCCATAAACTAGTTGAAGGTTATCTTCTAATTTTGTTCTTGTGCTTTCCACTTTTCTATGGAATAAAGAGGTACTATTTTATTGTTGATTGTTACTTTCATGTATTTGGATCAATAGTCACAACCTATTTGAGCCATCACAGCATGTTAATATAGAAACTAAAAATACTAATTGGTCATTATATCAGTGATCTAACTAATTAATTGAGGAGTGTGTTTTGTGTTTCTTATATTTTCAGAAATACAATATGTTTTTGGCTCAAATAGGTTGTGCTGCGATTGGAGTGGTAGCTTTCTCCTTCTTCGGCCCAGGTTGGCTCGCCCGGAGTGTCGCCCTCGCCGCTTCCATCGCTTTTATGGTCATTACTCGTGCCAATCACCCTCCTGGTAAATATTTATTTCTTTAATTTGTTTCCGAAATCAGAAATTGTTTTCTTGATTAAATGGTTTGAACTCTTTTTCATTATTTCATCTGATTAAATTACAGCGGCGAGCTTACCATTAATGTTCATAGATGGAGCAAAGTTCCATCACTTGAATTTCTGGTATGCACTGTTCCCAGGTGCAGCTGCTTGTGTCATCCTATGCCTTCTCGTAAGTTTTGTAATTTCTCAAGAACAATAAAATTAAGATAATGTTTAATGGTGAATATAAGGTTTAACGTGATTAAGTACTAATATATATGATTCAATTTGTTTTCTTTGCAGCAATCGATCGTATGTTACTTGAAGGAAAACATGAAATTTTGATGAATCATCAAGCAACACGTACGATCGAATGATATACATACACCCATATTGATGGAAATCTTGTGAAGATATTTGATTCATGTATTCACTTGAACGTATGATGTAAATGACTATATAAATATAAATATATAATTACGTTCATTCAAAATATATATATATACTTCTCTTAATTTGTTTCATGCTCTTCTCAGTTTGCTTATTAAGTAGTATCATTTTTCTTCTTCTTACATAATTAATGCCTCATACTCATACACCAGGAGAAGGTGCACTCCATAAATTTGACAATAGTTCGCTCCATAAATTTCCAGAACTACGTAACATATTTATAATACGAATCGTATTAGAGAGTTATTAATTGTATTATAAAAAGAAAAAAAATTGACAAATATACCACTTATGAAAATATCAGGTGTGTTAAAGATGGATTGTTTGGCACATGTTTGGACGGTTGTCGTGGTGAGGTTGAGTTTCCAAATAAAGATATATGAAACCTAATTTGTTCGGGAAAATATATAACACTTATTTTTATTTATTTTTGATAATTAATTATAATTGTTTAAACTATTTTATTTACATTTTCTGTATTCACAAAGTACGCAGTTGATTTCACATTCACCATATGAATGCAATTAACCTACGGTATATATATATATATATATATATGAATTTATTTGAAATAACTAATAAGAAAATTATAAAATACTGCCTCAACGTTTTACTGCTAAATTGTTATACTGATCCGTTAAAGCTTATGTAAACTAATCACATCAAATAACTCAATAAAAACCTGGAATCTATGATCCACAACCCTTTTAACCGGATTCGGTTGATTACAAAATGCAGATTCCGGTTGATTGATGTATGTGTTAGTCTTTAGCTTCAAATCTTTAAGACCGAATGAAAGAAAATGGAGTTAGTGGAAAGTTGAAATGCGAAAGCTGACTCCATCCATATATATATTCTTAAATATTTCAATGTGGCCTTTCTAGTATTTCTATCTAGATAAAATCGATCCAATTTATGCATATCTTATGATTCTAATACAAGCTCCAGCGACATGTTGCCCAAACACGAACCAGCTACGGTGTCCTCAACGAAAACCGGGACAAAACCGAAATATTCCGGTTTGGAGCGTTGTAGTAACGTCTAGATGATATCATTTAATAGGTTAAAAAAGGTAGGGCATTTCGTAAATTACGGGAAGAGCTAGGCCACCACCCAAATTGGATGATTGTAGAAGATGGTTACTATTGTATTATCGTACCGATTGATAAAATTTGCTCCTGACAAATTTTATCATCCACAGAAAGCGTTTAGAAAGAATGGAGTGTGGTTGTTGCAGTGGTGGTGGTGGCCCAAAAATGATACACCCAATCTCATGGGGGAATCATTTACCAAAGCATAAAAGCTTGTCTTATATATGCACATATCAATAATGCATGAATGAACCGGTTTGGTTGGTTAGTCTCCGATCGGTTAAACCGGCTGCTAAAGCTATTTTTCCAAAAACGTTGGAGAATACACTACTGGGAAACATGATTTTAATTTGTTACCAAGCTCTAACACGAAAAGTTGAAAACAAGATTCCTTTTGGTTGATTTCTTATCGATTCGGTTCCTCATATACAAAGTTACCAATGATGCGGTCCATAAATAGTTTAGGTTAAGATTACTTGCGCGTGACAATGAAACAAGAATATCGTTATCACAAGAGTTAATTGTTGTAGACAACTTGCAAATGAAATATTCATATCAATTGTTCTTTCAGTATTTATAATAATAAAGACAACTTTCTATTTAGCGTATGAGCCAATAAGATTTGAGAGATGGGTAGGGTCGTTCTCACCGCCTCTTTTACAACACGATCATTCACTATCAAAACGATTAAGAATTAACCGGTTTTACATTTTGAATTCTCCAATTACTTACAAAAACTTTTCAATTTTTTCGAAGAGATACGACGATATTCCACAAAATATTTGTTTATCGCTCGTGAAAGACCAACAAAGGCTACACTGTGGGACATATAATCTGGTTTAGCGATTGAATTTATAACCAGACTATCTTAAATTGTGTGGACCGTGGTATTTATCTTGTTAGTTGACTCAATTTCATGAAATGTTGATTTCATCATAGACTCCCCATAATCTTGTTACTAATGTGGACCTGTGCAATAGTAAAAAGGTCAGTTTAAAGAAACATGTAGCTATTTTGTCTTAAACTAACGACGATAGAATTTTTCTTCAACAACTAATGTTTTAAGATAATTTTTGACGGAAAAAAAAAGATCATGTTTGACAAGATCATTTTGGTTTTAGACAATTGCTTACCAAAAGCACATTTTCCAATTCCATAGTGCCCACTTAACAAACGCATGTTCGCTAGACTCTTGTTTATACAATAATGGTTTATTTACGTGGACAACATTCTAAAATGAATGATTTTATTGTTTTTAGGAATTTTGAACTTCTAATTCAAAAACCAATCGGTTGATCAATATACTATATACAAGATTCATCTCCATTTATATTCTGGATTATTGAATATTCTTTCTTTCTTTTTTGTCAACCACACATTCGTTAAAAACAACTCCATGATTAGTTGCCCAATTAGGAGGAGAAGAGTTTACAAAAGTAACATCAAAAATAAAAGTCTAGATTCTGAAATATTCTAACATAGTTGATTGATTATGAGTTAAGTAGTTGCGTCTTTATTCAGTTAAGTACATTATATATAGAAATTTCATAAACCAAAAGTAGCAAAATTTGGCTAAGTTAAACTTCTAGGATATGCAGTTATGCACGGTGCCTTGTTAACGAGGAAATACAAAAAAAGAGTCAACATCAAAGACAGTCATTTCTTTGTTTTCGAAGTTGTACGTTTAGTCTCTAGAGTTTTCGCTTGTTTGTAATAACCACACACCAATTTTTTCCCCTCACGTCCACTCTCTCTCCCCCTCTCTATAAATGTCTACACACTATTGCCATTAATCATATACTTCACTTTCATTCTCCAAACAGCTGTTTCTTGATTATCATGTCTCAGACGTTTGAACAAATGGTGAGTTTTAACTCTATCCTCCAAATTTTCTAAATCCAACTAAAAGTTCAGACTAGTATAAGCTAAGAGTTAGAAATGATTATATGATAATTTGACAACATTTTGTGTAAATATATGTAGGATGAAGCAAACAGGTTAAGCACGTGGAATGGTTATGTAGACTGGCGAAATAGACCGGCGTTGCGTAGCCGCCATGGCGGTATGCTTGCTGCCTCGTTCGTCTTGGGTGAGTCATTCTAAAACTCATCTTTAATCACAACTATTACATACTACAAATCAAGAAGTAGATGTAGAAGAGTTATTATTTTTATTTTTACAAGATATTCTAGATTCTTTTTCATATCAGTGATAGTTTCAACTTAATCTAATAGTTAAGAATCTTACACCAGCAAGTTTATATTCACTCAAAACATTATTTGTTAAAAATGGAGTATTAATTGATATGACATACTGTACATTTTTAGTTGTGGAAGTGTTGGAGAACCTTGCGTTTTTAGCAAACGCGAGCAACCTAGTGCTGTATTTGTCAACAAAGATGGGATTTTCGCCGTCGGGAGCCGCAAATGCCGTGACCGCTTTTATGGGAACGGCGTTTTTCTTGGCCCTTCTCGGAGGTTTTTTGGCAGACGCCTTCTTCACTACTTTCCATATCTATCTAGTCAGCGCCGCCATAGAATTCTTGGTATGCATTTCAGTTGACTATTTTTTAAAAACAAAATCCGTATAAGCTAGAGTTTAATTAAAAATAAAAATAAAACCTTACCTAAAACCAGGTCATTGGAAATGGACTTCAGAGGATGAAAGTTAATAGAAAAAACAGAAAAAAATTCCTTCTATTTTTAGCAATATATTTTTTAATATTTAAATAAATAAATAAAAACTCTAACTTTTCCTTTTTTTTTTCTAAAATGTGTAACATTAAATGATCTACGTATTTTTAATTTACATGATACGAGATTTAAACATTTACATAGAAGCTCTAGTATGAATATCTAACCTTTTAAACCACACTATTTTGTGGAACACACAGGGCTTAGTGGTACTAACGGTCCAAGCCCACGAGCACTCTACCGAGCCATGGTCTCGTGTTGTTCTATTTGTGGGTCTATACTCAGTTGCTCTCGGTGTCGGAGGAATAAAAGGCTCGTTGCCACCGCACGGAGCGGAACAGTTCGACGAAGAAACACCGAGTGGGAGGAGACAAAGATCCTTCTTCTTCAACTACTTCATATTTAGCCTCTCGTGCGGTGCCTTGATAGCCGTCACGGTCGTGGTCTGGCTCGAAGACAACAAAGGCTGGTCTTATGGTTTCGGTGTCTCCACGGCCGCGATCTTGATCTCGGTGCCGGTTTTCTTGGCCGGATCTCGCTTTTATCACCTCAAGGTTCCCAGTGGAAGTCCAATCACGACTCTATTCAAGGTCTTAACGGCTGCTTTCTACGCTAAGTATAAGAAAAGAAGAACTTCAAGAAACGTTGTCACTTGTCATACAAGAAGTGATTGTAATGACAACGTAACCAAGCAAAACTGCAACAGAGATGATGAATTTCTTGGATCTTTCCTAGGTGAAGTTGTGAGAGAGCGTGAATCGATTCCACGTCCACTCCGTTGCACTGAAGATCAAGCCAAAGATGTGAAGATAGTCATCAAGATCTTACCTATTTTTATGTCTACCATTATGCTTAATTGTTGTCTAGCTCAGCTCTCGACGTTTTCCGTCCAACAAGCTTCGACGATGAATACGAAGCTCGGGTCATTTACTGTCCCACCGGCGGCATTACCAGTCTTCCCGGTCGTCTTCATGATGATCTTAGCTCCAACTTACAACCACCTCCTCCTCCCTCTAGCTAGAAAAACAACAAAAACCGAAACCGGCATAACCCATCTTCAACGCATCGGAACAGGGCTAGTCCTTTCCATAGTAGCAATGGCGGTGGCAGCCTTAGTGGAAACAAAACGCAAGCACGTCGTTGTTACTTGCTGCTCAAACAACAACTCATCTTCTTATTCTTCTTCGCCGCTTCCTATAACGTTTCTTTGGGTGGCCATTCAATATGTGTTTCTTGGATCAGCAGATCTATTCACTCTAGCCGGTATGATGGAGTTTTTCTTCACCGAAGCTCCTTCTTCGATGCGTTCCCTTGCAACCTCGCTCTCATGGGCGTCTCTTGCGATGGGATATTACTTGAGCTCTGTTCTCGTCTCGGCTGTTAATTTCGTAACAGGCTTAAACCATCACAATCCATGGCTTCTAGGGAAGAATCTAAATCAGTACCACCTCGAGAGATTCTACTGGCTCATGTGTGTGCTTAGTGGGATTAATTTCTTGCATTACCTCTTTTGGGCTAGTCGTTATGTGTACCGGTCGAACCAAGGGTAGATCCTAAGCATATATATCGATAGTTGTATTGTCTAGAACTTATTGTAGGGTAATTTGTCGTCTATTAATAATAATCGATTAAATATGTCTAGGGTTTGGTTTCTTGGAGAAGAAGTTACTATGATGCTAGATTTGTTTTTACGACTATGGCTACACGCTCAAATTTCACGGATATGTCATTTAATATGATTATAAAGACATTGTTATTTTCATTTATAGCCAATATTCCATGAAATGTAATTGTAATGTTGGAAATTAATGTTTGTATTTGCTGCGTTTATCAAATAAATAATATTGTACATCTGTGAATCACACAATGGCTCCTTAACAAAAAAGAGAAAAGAAAAAGATTTAAGTAAATCACATCGCTGTTTAGGTGGAGAGTTCTGTGTCTAAGGGCAGTCTAGGTTGGAGGGCTCCTTCTAGAGGATGGTTAAAGTGCAACATTGGTTTTTCTTGGGCTAAGAGAAGCCGGTTGGCAGGTGGTGCTTGGGTAATTAGAGATCATGAGGGGAATGTCAGTATGCATAGTAGAAGACCTTTTTCGAACTGTGTGGATGTGATTGATGCCAAGCTTAAGTGTTTTTTGTGGGCTGCTGAAAGTGTGCTCGAAGGTGGTTTTTGCTTTTCAGGATCCTTCTTTTGTTGGTATGGTGAACAGACCTAAAGCATGGCCTTCCTATAGGTACCATTCGCAAGAAGTTTTACTGGTGCTGGATGGGATTTTAAATTGGAAGGTAGTAGTAGAAGTGGTAGAGGTAAATAGAGGAGCTAATATCATTGCTCAAAGCGTCACAGGTGATTTGAGGTTGCAGTCTTATGTTGCAGCGGGTTATCCTTCGTGGTTACAAGGCGTTTTTGAGGGTGAGAGAGTTCTATCCTCTCCTTGACTGGGTGAAGTCTTGTGAAGTCTTGTTTAGGCCTTTTTATGTAAATGTGCTTTTGTTGGATTGTTTTTTTGTGTAACATGTGCTCTTTGGAACTTATTTCTATTTATATAAAATTAGATGACAAAAAAAAAAAAATCACATCGCTGTTTTACTTTTAACCACTGATTTATTTGCCTTTAAAATATGCTTAAAAAGGAGTCCTTATCTCAAATATGAGAATAATCCACTCTTTTAGTGTTTATCATCTTTCATCTTTTCTAAAGCTGATGAATCTCCACATTTATTTCAGTAATGAAAATATCTCAAATATTCAAAGGCTAATGTGTACTCTCATTTTTTCTAATCAATCTCTAATTTTGATATGTCCAAAACAAATTAATCTCATAAGATTTTATAGTGGCAAGTAGTCCCTATTTTCACGTAACGTAAAAGATTGACAGATTGTAACTTGTAATGAAGCTTCTTCCTTTTGCTCTTTTTCTTTACGAAGATTGTAATAAAGTTTATTTTTGTAATGAGATTCTTTTCCGATGTATTTGTGGAATATTCTTCGACTTATATCAATCGAACCGGCTCAACAACTCATCCTTTTCTTTTTAAAATTCTCTAAATTAAGACCCTATATGTTTATATTTATCACAGATATAACAGAAAACAGTTTTTTTTTTTTTCTTTTCCTTTTTTGGTATAAGCAGATAATAATTTCTGAATCTAGATAAGAACAAAAGAATAATGAATTTATATTATCTCGTCAAAAGTTCCTGGGTTTTTATACGCGTTTAATTTCTATTGGGTATATTGTGTAAATTTATAAATAGAAAAGGGTAACAATTCGAAATAGTTGAAAACTATTGAGGTCTTTCTTTCCTGTATATAAATAAAACCGTCTCTACCCACTGAAATATCAACTTAGCTCTTAAGCAAATCTAATCGGAGAACGGAGAAATTTCGGTAAAACCCTATCTATCATCTTCTTCTTCTTCTTTTGATTACGTGAAAATTCTGTGTTCAGAGGCACAGTTTTGTTCTAGAATTCCAAATTTCGGGGCTGATTTTGTATTTTCTGGGTACGTGAGATTAGATCGAGAGAGAAAAAAAAGAGCGACCTTTTCTCAATTTTTCCGGTGGGTTTCATGTTAAATTTACAAGCTTTGAGTTCAGTATTTGTTCTTATGCTCATGATCTTCAGAATTTTCAATAAAAAATTTGATTTTTTTTTTGGTTTCTGATGGATTAGGTTGTGAAGAGAAGAAAAGATGGGAAATTTGTTATGTTGTGTTCAAGTGGATCAATCAACGGTAGCGATAAAAGAAACATTCGGGAAATTCGAAGAAGTTCTTGAGCCTGGTTGCCATTTTCTTCCATGGTGTCTTGGTAGTCAAGTTGCTGGTTACCTCTCTCTAAGGGTTCAGCAACTAGACGTCCGTTGCGAGACCAAGACTAAGGTTTAAGATTCTTCTCTTTATCAAAATTGTGCTTTGATTAGCTTCTGTGTAGTACTAATCTTTCTTTTTTTTTTGTTTGTGTTTTTCCAGGACAATGTGTTTGTTAATGTTGTTGCATCGATTCAGTACCGTGCCCTAGCTAATAAGGCCAATGATGCCTACTACAAACTCAGCAACACAAGGAGTCAGATTCAAGCTTATGTGTTTGATGGTAAGTCTCATTGTTAAAAAAAAAAAAACATGTTTTAGATACTAAGTGATTGTGTTCAGAATATTGATCATTCTGAGTTTTTTTGTTCCAGTCATTAGAGCAAGTGTCCCAAAGTTGCTTCTTGATGATGTCTTTGAGCAGAAGAATGATATTGCAAAAGCTGTTGAAGAGGAGCTCGAGAAGGTATACTATTCTTTGTGTGTTTTGGTCTCTTTCTGATTGTGAAGTTATGAGTGTTCAAATTTTGTATCTCTGTCACTCTTGTAGGCAATGTCGGCTTACGGTTATGAGATTGTGCAAACTCTCATTGTTGATATCGAGCCTGATGAACATGTTAAACGGGCCATGAACGAAATCAACGCTGGTAACTAACATTACTTCCCATCATTTATATACTCTTTACTTATTCTTCTACTTGTAAATCCTCAAATCTGAGTTTCTGCTTCTTGTTTATAGCTGCAAGGATGAGATTGGCTGCAAACGAGAAGGCAGAGGCTGAGAAAATTCTGCAGATTAAGCGAGCTGAAGGTGAAGCTGAGTCCAAGTACCTCTCGGGTCTGGGTATCGCCCGTCAGAGACAAGCGATTGTAGATGGATTACGCGACAGTGTTTTGGGTTTCGCTGTGAATGTGCCTGGGACAACTGCTAAAGATGTGATGGACATGGTGCTTGTTACACAGTACTTTGACACAATGAAGGAGATTGGTGCTAGCTCCAAGTCTTCTGCTGTGTTCATACCGCATGGACCAGGAGCTGTTCGCGATGTTGCTACTCAGATCAGAGATGGCCTTCTTCAAGGCTCGTCCGCAAACCTTTCTTGAAGTGGATTGACTGATTATGTTCTCTTCTCTTTGACTATGGTGTGATGTGATTATCATCTCTTCTTTCTTTTGGATTATGTTCGAACTCTTTTTTTCTTTTTTTTTCCTTTTTTATTTCTATTTAGTATTGTAGTACATGAATTATGGTGGTATAATCAAACTCGTGAACACTAAATCAGAAGATTAAATGCAAAGACAAATATTTGGTGACATCTTTTGTGTCAAATTAATAGTGAAATGAAAGATTAAAGATTATTAGTTCTTAAGAATGTTTTTATTTCACATTCAACGTAACTAATGATTACGTAGGGTGAAGAAATTTCGCAGGAAACTTCCTTCACCTACATGAAATTAGTGCCATTTCCTTTAAAGGCAAGAAGACATTGACATTGTCATAAATTTTGCAGGGCCTTTATATATTTGTGATCAATAATTCATCTCAAAAAGATAAAACTTTCACATGGTAAACTTTATCTAATATGAAATAATGAGAATTTAATAGTCATAAGTAGGATGGTGATGTATGAACTTGGCAACGATGTTTCTTTCTATACTTAATAACAAATGATCCTAGTTGCTAGAAGAAGATAATTCAGCTTTTTTGGTTATTAGACATTGCAGTTGCAGAGTGTTATTGTTTCCACTTTCATGGTTGAAGAACTAATTACCATCTTGCCCCTCAGTTTTCTTCAATATTTCAACCCAATACCAGTCTTCTGCAGACATTTTTTAGTATGTAATTTACATCATCTTTAAATGCTACTAATGTGTTATACGTCTCTCACAAGTCTTCACAAGTCTCAACTTTTTTATTTATCTAGTCCTTTTTAAACCATAATGGTGTAGTTTAGTGGTAGTTGCAGCAGAATTCTTTTTACACCAACCAATATAGATTCTGATGCCTACATCATATATAAATCCAACCAACCAAACACGTAATGACAAATATATCAATCGGATTTGGCAAGTCTAGATATTTGTGTTAACGGATCCAATAATCAAAAAGATAATCAAACCATTGACTTTGTTTTTTTCTAATAAAAAGGAATGATGTAATCTACTAATCTTATAGGTAAGGTTCATTAGATTTCAATATCAGTTGACCCATTTGAATGCATTGTTGTGGTCTTAAATTATTAAATCATAAACATGAACTCTATAGTTCTTTCAATGTGGTTTATACATCAGCATTACCAATATGTATTAAGCTGAAAAGTATTATATTAAAAACAGATAGTTTTTGTACAACTTACAACACATATTTTACAAGCAAACTCTGATTGAAATCAAACAAAACAAAACAAAAACCCTATGCCAAGATACGCTGAAAATAACATTCATCAGCATTTGTAATTGGCATATATATTAGTTAACTTAAGGTAGCATATAATTTGTATTTGAATTAGTTAGTTGGTGGTGGTGCATCTACTGCAGCAGTACTAGGCTTAGCTTGTTCAGCCTCATGAATAAGCTTCACAATCTCATCTTTCTTTAAGACCATAGCTTGAATCTTTTCTTCAATCTTCTGAAGCTTCATCTTCAATTTCTCTGGATCTTTCTTATCTTCAGGGTTCTTTTCTTTCTTCGCCTTCTTATCTTTCTTCTTGCTCTTCTTCTCTTGATCTTCTCCTTCTTCTCCTCCACCATTTTTATCGTCCTCGTTCTTATCCTTCTTATCTTTATCTTTCTTCTTCTCCTTCTTCTCAGTTTTCTCAGCCTTGTTGTGTTCCTCTTCTTTGTTATCACCATGGTTCTTCACTTTCTCTTCTGTTTCTCCCATTATTCTTTATGAGATTTGGGTTTGATTTTGTCTTTCTTAGATAGTGCTTAAATCTAGAAAACTTTCTTACAAATTTCTTGTGGAACTAAGAATTACCCTTTTATTACAAAGGATCTTCAGCTAAAATTAGACATAAAATGATCACATCCGTAGATATTACTTCTATAACGAGAATTATGGAGTTTCGTATGTTGCTTCCTTTTCTATCTTTAGGATTTTAGTTTTGTGGAATGATCAATCTTTTAAGCTCATCCATAGAGCCCTTAAGTAGTTTTGTCGCATATATAGAGGAAGGTTTTCACAAATCACCAATGGTACGAAAAGATTATCAACTAAAACTTATGCAGCGATTAATTAAGCCTATGCTTCATGTTGTTTGTTACTTTCTCTTTCACTAAAACTGTTCCGTATACTTGGTGGTTTTGAATTATACAGATCAACTTGTAAGAAAATTTGTACCAATAATAAAATCAATATTATACACACACAAATATAAAAATCATTATAATTTATAATCTATCTTAAAAATAAATGTTTATTTTCTCGTAATAGTATCAATATTGTACATGCATACACAAATAAATATTGGAGGAAATCATAATCCCAATTATAAAAAACACAGAACAGTGGATTATCATATTTTCCCAAGATTCTCAATTTTGTTGGTCGATATGTGAATGAAAAATGGAACTGATGATGATTCTCATGGATCAGGCAAAATAAATTTTGATTACCCAGAGAAAATCATACACTTACTTATCCTTTGTAACGATTCATACATGTCTCTTGTCAAAAACAGCTTTGAAAGACTCACGCTCTGCTCTAAGCTGATCCTGGAAAATTCCTCTTACCTTTGCTTTCCCAATTGCATCAGCAAGTGCACGACTCTCTTCTTCCGATAGAGGATTCGATTTCAAGTTGTATCCTGATCCTGGACCTATAACTAAGGATGGCATGTTCATATTCCTGGCAGCACCAATTGAAAAACCTGCATCTCCACCCTATCCACAGAAATAAAAAGCATGCATCAGATATTTTCCAGAAGATAAACATGATTTCAAAGCTAATAGAACTTCTAGAGACGTACTGAACAAGCAAATATGTGTATGTTTATACCTTATCTCCCCACCAAACAGATTTGCCTTTCCGCTGGCTTGATTTGGGAAGAGATTTGGGGTTTCGTCTCACGCTCTGAGAGTTCTCTGTTTCATCTTCTTCTACATTTGACCATTTACTTCTGCTTAGTTCTTTCACTTCTTCTGTACGGGAGCCAGATTCTGCATGCCATTTACTCTCACTTTTGTAAGAGCCTGAGGTGATTCCAACAGAACGAAAGACTCAGCTAAGTGTTTTCGGTTTGTCTAAGTAAAAAAAGAAGACAGTATAAAGAAAGCATTGAAATCTACCCTCTGTCGCACCCTTTTCTTCTGACTGGGTACTGTTATCAGATTTTCTTTCTGGCAGTCCGAAATCATCTTCCATGTCCATATCCACCTAGAGCAATTTTATGAGAAATTACGAGGTTGGATCAAATAATGAAGGCCAAGATTGAAACAATGGTCAAAACAAGGAATTTTTTAACCCTTGTTTACTCAAGGACAGAGAGGTACAAAAAGATTTTTCTCTTACCTCCTGGATTCCATTCTCCTTCAGGTCATCCCACCGCGTAAAAGACTATCACAGAAAACGAAGATAACATTTAAGATGTTGTAAAAATGCAACAAAACGAGATTATACTGCATGAAGCTCATCTTAAGATCAGTTTCCTTTAGGTCAACGCCAAATCGTACATGAAGGGGTCTTCTTCCCATTTACAAAAAGCAAGAATGTTGGAAAGAAAAAGAATGGCATAAGAACCTTGATATCCAGCTGCATGTACAATGAAGGAGCTTCTTCCCATTGTTCTGCCATCTGCTGTACTTGATCTAGTGTGATGCCATGTACGTTTCTTGCAGCACAGCCCTGTAATTTTGCACACGCTTAGAACATCAAGTGAATGACATTCTGTATAAATATGATAATGATCTTAGTGTGCTCCTATTTATCTAGGCTAAAAATGAAAACTACAATTGAGATACAAAATCTAAGTTATCAAAGAGTAAATAGTATGCAGAGAACTCACAGTCGGGTCCTTGTATGTTGCTTCGAATATGTAAGCTTCATATCCAGATCTCTGCAAAAGAAACAGAGAGTCAAGGAAACTTCCAAGAACGATTAAGATAAATCTTTCATTTTCAATACTGGACAACAGACATGTTTCAGTTGAACTGGTTTCAAATGTTACAATAAGTAACAATTCAAGGTTCATCATTTACAACAAGCATACAATCATACACAGAAAAGAGATCGTCGGCATCTACATTTCAGGTAAATAGAATGAAGAAACTGCTCACTGAGCAAAATCGAGGCAAAAGAAAATTGAATCAAACTGAAATTCAGCAAAAGGGGAAAAGGTGAATTCTCGAATTCAAAGCTTTTTATTTATATTGTATTAGTTTTAAGCTGGTCAAGAAGCCATCTAAAATTCTTCAACTTTCATTTTCACAGAATCATAGATAAACAAGAAAATCAACAAGCACGGTGGCAAGCAACAAAAGGGGATGAGGAGTAGTGATTGCCCAAAGCTACCACTACTTGTTTATAAATAAATAGGAAAGGACATATTACAAATTATATTGGTCAGTGACTGCAAGGTTACAAAAATTTAAAAAGAATGGCAACCTCACACGATGTTTAGAAAGCAACATGAAGCAAGCAGAAAAATTAATAACAACTACAACTTGCATGTAAAATACCACTATAAATAGTACATACAGTCATTAACAAGACTAATGACTCATCTTATAAAAGAGGGAATTAGCAATATAAAGGAGAAAGGACTTATAAGAACTTGCAAGTTGCCCCACGCCAATGTCCTCTTTGATGATAAATACACAACCAAGAAGGTTGTAAAGGGGGAGAGAGAATAGACATATCTTTGAAAGACCATATATTCACTAATATACAGGAGTGAAGCAAGACAATAACTAATGTACAGGAGTAACTTTGGAAAACTAGTTTTCAAGAAAAGATTATGAAGATGCTGAGGAAAGAAGACTCGTACTCTCAATCTAGGGAAATGCAAGGTCACTATAAATTTGGACGGAGCATTATGCTAATACTTGAGGAGGTTGAGATAACTAACTAAAACATTGTCAGAACTGTCAACTTACTAAAATATATTGTGTAATAAACAATTTTAGACTTCACTAACATTTAGTGCAGATGAAATTATCTAGACATTTGAAAAACCAAGGATACCTAAGCACTAAAGATGCTAGTTGACTTCACAAATCATTATGAGTCTTCCATAGAATCCGCAAACAACATCCAAACTCCACAAGGTAATACAGGAAGAAGTGAGGATATACCTTTGCTGTTGCCCAAAACTGAGTAAAATCAGCTACCCGCAGATTGCGGTCATCCACTAAGATGAGTGACATATACCAGCAAGAAACGGTCAATTCCAGAAAACAAACTGCATCCGTGGTTAGAGAAAATGAAAGTAGTGCTTGGACACTGCACCACCTAGTTCCCAGCTAAACTAGATGAATAGAATCTCTAAACAAAGATCTTACATGTTGCAATATTTACTACTCCCTATACCTTGAGCAGATAAGAGGGCTGCTGGGAGGATATTAATTTTTTTAAACTAAGAAACTAGAGAAACTATATCAGGTGAAATGTTTGCTCAAAAAGAAAAGTAGTATCCATCATTTCAACATCAAGAAACCAAAAGAGATAATGTCATCAGATCACAGATAGCAAGGAAATAAAATTTCAAAGCTGTTATATGTGTCCTACATTCTAGTAGGCAGTTATGAGAAAATCATTACCGATTACAAAGCTGAAGGCTCCATCTTCAAGTGTCCTCTTAAAAGCTTTCAGCATGCTTGAACGATAAGCCTGAGAATTTAAGAGTGGCTAGAAACTTAACAAAAGAAATATATCGCTGTGGTTTATTATATTCCTATTTCATTTATATCAAGCTATATGTTGAAAAGACACCTCTTCCATCTCAGGTTCATAGCAGTATTCCATGACCGTCTTCACATTAGGTCTTTTGCTTCTACCAGAGCTTGAAGAAGTTGAATCACTCTCCTCAACCTTTTAAATTGACAAAACAACACAATTTTAGAGTCCTTTGATGGTCCCGAGTAAAGACTTTTAAGAACTGTTTAAGAATTATGAGGATTAATTAACCTTCTCAACTTCAGTCATGAAGTAATCATCCATAGAATGGATTCGCGGAGCACTACCACCATTTTCTACCTCGATGTCACGCAACAACTTGGCTAAATAACTCTTCCCACTGCCTGAATATATATACTAATGGAGTTATTACTCAGTAACACATGAACTTAAATACAAACACCTTTCAAGGTCATTCAAATGCAAAAACAAGTGGAGATTATATTGTTTCCTCCCAGAGGCTACGCTAAGAACTGAAATCATGTAACAACTCGACGCAAAAAGCAAAGAGAGGCTCAGAAAAGAACCTGGTAGCCCTCGAAGGATAACTACAAAGTGATCTGGACGAGTAGAACGATGAGGAGGCTTCAATAAATGGGACACATCAATCACTTTAGACCGAGTAGGTGCTAATTGTGCAGAAGATGGCTACCAAACAATAAGAGATTTATCAGTACAGCAAAACAAGATATTTCGAAGGAAAGAAGGAAACCACGAAAGCAACATTACAGAAGCATTAGGCATTTGAGGTAATGATGATGATGGAGGGATCGTTGGTGACGAATTAGTAGTGACAGGAAACAGTGAAGAAGGATGAGACGGCGGATGAGAAGGAGGCAAAGGCGGTGGTGGAGAAACCGGAAGAGGAGGCTGACCGTTAGGACCGCTAAAATAGCCTCCGTACAGCGGCGGATGATGAGGCGGAGGAGCTGCACCATTAAACTGACCTCCATTCCTAAATTCACTCCCATACTGATGATTGATCTCTAAATTCACTCCGGGAGACGGCGCAGTTAAACCATAACCATGATCGCGAACCATCTTCAACCTCCGTTCATTCTCCCATGAAACACCGTAACCGGGAGAACCACCACCGATCGCATCAATCCGAGCTCGCTTATAGCTCCGATCAGCTTCCCTATCAACATCAACGGCGCTACGATAGTCAGAAGAAACCGGTCGCCATTGATTTCTGTGGTGAGGTTGCCAGGGCGGATAGTGAATTTGCGGTGGTGGAACCGGTGGTCCGGTGAACGAATCGAAACCAGGACGAGGTGAATTGAGGTGAGGAGGAGGAGGAGGAGGGAAGTTCGGGTTGTGAGGGAAAGAAGATGGAGGAGGACACGGTGGACAAAAGGGGAAGTGAGGCACTGTACAAATCGGGCATACGTTTGGCTGTGTTGGTGCTGGACGCCATTGTTGATGATGGTGGTGATGATAGTTGTCGAAATTATTATCCATTGTTGATGATTTTGGAGCTTCGAGATATGCAAGACTGTTCAGATGAACCCTGAAATCTAAATTAGGGTTTATGTGATGAAATCGATCAACATAAAAGAAAACTAATGTTTCTGAGAGAAGCTGAAAACTTCGAACTGTGCTTGAGTTTGATCTGACTAATAGTCGCTAATTATCAAACAGTGGTATGAATAATCACCTAATTCTGGTGGAGGCCCATTTATACTAAAGTCCCATAATGTGAAGTGTGAACCAAAGGAGAATTCGGTGGAGGCCTAGTTACACTAAGTCCCATAATGTGAACCAAAGGCCCAACTAAAAGTTTAAGGACATTTAGACTTTTATTTTTAAGGTCCGATAATTATTATGGTCAGTAAACACAAAAATAAAACTTGAACATCAGTTCCATGGAATTAACGGCTAAGACCATACACAGTGGTGTATGTTTTGGTGGGGTATGAGTATTATTTAAAAGGAAAATAATAGAATAGTGTAACACATGGATGTGAGATAACACTTGGGTGTGAGTATTATTTTAATATTTTATGTTTCATCTATCTCTTTCTCTCTTCTTTCTCTTTATCCACTAACCAAATCTCTCTCTCTCTTAAAAAAATTATAATAAATATATTGTTAACACCCATCCATCCACATGCACCATTGTGGGTGCTCTAATACTACATATGTCGTTTAATCCTTTCCACATTTTCCTAACCTACGTTTACGGTTTACATACGTCATTTTTGTGACATCATTAACATTTGAATATTCAATTTATACAGAAGAAATGGATAAGTTTTATCACCTCGTGATGTGATTGTCTGATTAAACGTGACACCGTAGAAGATAAGTAACATTTTTCATGTTATACTTTCATTTTAAATAAATACCAAGACCGAGAGTCTAAATGGTAACTGAGGAATCTGGCTGGATCCGGCTGAATCTGACTGAATTTTTAGTGATTTTTAGCTGAATCTGGCTGAATTTTTATATTTTCAAATGGTAACCGCTGAATCTAGATAAATTTTTTTGTGCTTTTCAGCAGAATCTGTCGAAATAATTAAGACTTTAACTGAAATATCGTCAAATAATTACGAATATTAATAGAATAACTAAAGAAAAATATCTAAATGAAATAGATAAAATTATCTAATTGTCTAATTAAATCTTATACCAATAAATAAATACTAGAATTAATATCTATTTATCATAATTGAGTTGTTCTTCCAAATCTAATTTTTGAACTATTAAAAAGATATAATTAATTAATAGAAAGCTTTGTCAAAGTTTTATTGAAAAATTAATTTAAAAATAAACATGATAATATAGTATAGATTATCTTATTGATTTTTCATTATTCTCTAGTAGTTTAAATCCTTAATATGATTAGGATGATTAACAATTTTTTTTAATTTGATATTTTAAATATTATTTTAGCATAAGTATGAGTTATTTTTGCAAAAATTTGGAAAATTATATTTAAGTATCTAAAATTTATTAAAATTATCTAAAATTATCTATAGATATCTGAACATAAATATGTCTCTCTTGTCTATTCTGGTAATGGTTTTATGTGTATGAATTATTCATATATCGTATTTGTATGATCTAACTTATTTTAAAATATAAATTTGATGTGTAATTTTTAATAGCCAAAAATATTTTAATTCGAGTTGTGAATCGCTATATATAATCCAAATTTTTATCTGAAATGAACATATTATGTATCTGTTGATGTTGGAAAAACTGTTGAATCTGGCTGAATTTAGTTTTATGCAAATGGTAACTGCGGAATTGCTGAATCTGGCTGAATATTTTTTCCATGTTACCATTTACACTCCGAATCCGATTTTAAAAAATGTAGACTTATCTTCATTTATTTTGCTCAACAAGTGGTTAAGTACTTAAGTTTAAACGTTTGTGGTTTATTTAATTTCAGTTGACGTCGTTAGTGGTTTATGTTCTTTACGCTCCTTGTTAGAATCATGATAATTAATTAAATTAAGTTAGATTTTGGCTCCTGATTAAATAACAATTAATCCCCACTAATGTAATCATTTCAATTTGTTTTTTCTCCGTGAATGAAGAAAATACAAATACTGTATTTTTTATTTTTCCCATATAAATATTCCACGGGACCTCCAATTTTCGAAGCGTACAATCTCTCTCTCTCTCTCTCAAACGTTTCAGTTTCAGAAAAGAGAAAACTGAGAGGCAAGAAACAACTTTCTCTCAAATGCAGACGAGTCGGTTACTCTCCTTTTCCTCTAACTCTCCGAGTTTTGGCAGCTTCTCCTCCGCCGTAGACCTCGCCGCAATCGCCTCCCGAGTCGTCGAAGAATTCAGAGATCAGGAGCAGACACAACCCGACTCTCACCACCGCGACGACGATAATGATTCCGATTTCGCTTTCGATTGTCTAAGCAACACGTGTTCTCAACCTCTCGCTACCGCCGACGAGATTTTCTGTAACGGTCAGATCCGTCCGTTGAATCCGTACGGTGGCGGAATCGGAAATGCTCCTGTAGAATCTCAACCGAGTACTACTCTCCTCCCTCGTCGTCATAGACCGGCGTTGAGAAAACTGATGAGCGAGGATCGAGATCCGACTTCGAATTCTTTTTCGGAAGCTGAAGAGGATCTAACCGGAGTTCCGCCGGAGACGTACTGTGTATGGAAACCAAAACAATCGAATTCCGGAGATGATGATCTTCAAGGTCTCTCGTCTTCTCCGTCACGAAGCAAAATCAAAAGCCATTCAGCTGGATTCTCGAAACGTTGGAAGCTCCGGAATCTTCTGTACGTTAGAAGCAGCAGCGAAGGAAACGATAAGCTCGTGTTTCCGGCGCCGGTTAAGAAGGACGACGAGACTGTGTCCGATCAGGAACCGCCGTCCAAGGAGGAAGGAAATGGCGGCGAGGAAGAAGAAAGGGAAAGGGAAGAGACAAAACGACAGACGTATGTGCCGTATAGAAAGGACATGATTGGAATATTAAAAAATGTGAATGGGCTAAGTCGTCATTTACGTCCTTTTTGATGGTGACGTGGCTCTCCCAGACGCGGACTTTGGGTGGGCTTCGGTTTCTTTCTTTTTCCTACTTTTTTTTTTCTTTTTTACTTTTATTTATTTTCTCTCTCAACCTTTTTCTTTTATTAGTTTCCGAGAAAATCTTGAGTGTTGGCGAGAAAGTAAATAATTTTATTTTCGAATATTTTTTAAAATTGTCGGTTTAAATAGATAATGTATAAGTTGTTTTGGTGGTTTGATTATTGGAATGGAGGAGACTAATAGTGGTTTTATTCGTTTATTTGTCATAAACTTGTTCAATTTTTATTCTTCTCATCATAATGTTGAATTGTTTCACCTAACAATATGATTTAGGAAAATTCAAGTGTACACACGTTATATCCATTATGTGATCAATTAAAGTTTAAGTTAGTTAAATGTATGTGTGTGTGTATAATAAATTCAAAATTTGGATAAGTGTTGTATGTTTCTTTGTTTTAGACACTCAAAAAGTGTTGTGGTCCATTAACGTGTGGATAGTCTCATATACCTTTTTAAATATAGAGATGGATTTGTTAATTTGGATATATAAGTTTTAGGTGGATATTGTAGGAATGTTTGGTTTGCCTTGATATCGTCTTGTTCGAAATTTCTATAAAGAGAGATGCGTTCACACTATTGATTGAGAGACTCGAGTCATCCCAACTACATAATATAAAGTGTATTTAAAAAGATTAGATTAATTTAACAGTAGTCGTCGATTCATTCATCTTCTAATTAAAACTTCATATTTGGTGTCTTGTCTATATTTAAAATATGTTTAGTGGAATCCGCAACAAATTTAAATGAGTTGGATTACCAAATTGGAGATGTACATATTAGAATGGGTGTGATTGATAATTTCGTTGTGGTAAGGTATATACCATTTATATTGTGACCAATCGATAAAACGACAAACTGAAATGCGATGAAAGCAAGATGGTGCAAATTTTTACTGTTTTATGTTTTTCTTCTTATCTCTTTCAACTGTTCCGTAATCGTTTATATGTTATATCATGGGATTTGAACCAATAGATACAAACCAACAAAAATAAACGTCTTATCAGCCAAACTAATACTAACATTAAGCATATATTTTTTTTTTCAGTTAACAACCCTTATAGCTTAATTTATAATCTAAATACAATCTAAAGTACTACCTACAAGTTGTACATGTGTCTTTTAGGAAACCAAGTACCGCCTCAGATAAACTGATAACACAAATGATAAGGTTAAATTATGAAAATAATTACTTGCAAGCTACGATTTATGATAACTTAGAAGCTTTTTTTGATCATAAACCGACCAATTGGTTTCCTAGTACATTTATTAAAAAAACATCATTACTGCAAAATAATGAGTCGACAAATCAACACTTCTATTGTTCCAAATAGCTTTTGCCAAACAAATTATTAATCGAATGTGAAGGTGTTTCATATATGACTTACAAGTTAAAATTATTCCTAATGATTAGCGGTGGGAGTAGGTTAAAAAGAGTGCATTTCTGTCTTTATCCCTACTCTAATATGAATACGACTCGTAACTAAATTGATTTATGATTCAAGTTTTAATGCAGGTATTAGAAACAGAAAATATTTTGTTTCATGGATTGTAGTATTTGGCTATCGAGTTCACATACTCAAAAATAAACTTTATAGCTCCTCATATTTGGCGGTACATTTTTTAGATTAGTATTATGAAAAATAAGGTGAGTGATGCGGTTTTTTTTTTTTTTTACCCCTCTTAATTTCTACTTCACATTTTACATTTTTATACTATGAAAAAATATAAAACTGTTATCTTATATAAAGTATGGTTTTCAAAGTTAATAACTCATAGGATCGTGACACATGGCAAATCTATCGATCTCAGATTTTGACACGTGAAAACAAAAATTTCCTTTTATTTATTTTTAAAAATATATTAGGAAACTATATGCACATATAAAATTTATCAACTTATAAAACCAAAAAAAATTTATAAGGAAATTATACATATATCTATCTTATATAAAAAAATTCTAAAAATCTAAAGAAGATAAATATAAGGAAACTAGATGTATCTTAAGAAATAAAAATATAAATTTAAAAAAAAAAAATTTTAAGGCAACTATACATATATATCTTATAAAAAAAAATTAAAGTAAAGAAGATAATTATAAGGAAACTATATGTATCTTATTAAATAAAAATAGAAATTAAAAAATTATTTACTAATTCTAATTTAAAGCTACTAATTCTAAAAGAAAAATATTATTAAAAAAAATTTATGAAATTATACAATCTTATTGTATAATATGATAATTAAAAAAAAATTATAATCAATTATTAATCGTAGAAGAAAAATTATTCTAAATACTCACCTCTATAGATAAACAAATAGATATATAGATAAATTAAGAATTATGAACGACGATGGACATAAAATATATTTGTTGTCGAAAAAGGTAGATCCGATGTCGGAGAAGATAAAGAAGGTGGAGAAATAAGAGCAGTTGGGGAAAGAGGGGAAGATGTGGTAATGGTGGTGTTGGTGTTGATGACGGTGGTTCAAGCTTGGTAGTGGTGGCGGTAAATATTGATGAAGATGATGGATCAGAGTTAGCGAGATTTACTATTGATGGTGATGATGATTGTGGTAGGTGTAAAATTCAGTTCTGGTGGTGGCCTGGTGGGTCAGAGTAGTGAGACTCAGTGGTGATGTCCGACGAAAAAAAGAAATAGTGATATGGAAAAAGAAAAAAAAAATATGGTGGTGAATAAATCCAACGAGATGGAGAGAAATAAAAAGAAAAAGGAAATCAAGCAAAACTAAGAGAAATCTAATGAGTGAAAAAGAGAGATTTGAGACTTCTCGCCGGCGAGAGGAAAGAAAAAAGAGACAACGAAGAACTCATGAGTAATATAGGCCAAAAATTGACAAAAACCATATAGCAAATAGACATTGTTTAGTTAATATCATTTTCTTGATTTTTTTTAGTAGGTTATTTAATCCATATTCTCTAATTCCTTCTGAATTTGTCTTTTTTCTTTTGAGAATTTCTAATATTATCAAGTAAACTTACATGATGTGGATATATACTGTCTCATGTTGTCACAATTTTGTTTTCATCTTGCTCACATTGAAATTAGAAAGTGTTATACATTGTTCCGATGGATGTAGATAATTTATTAAACTTCAATAATACACATAGGAGCATTTATTAAATATCACACTGTAACATATAATAAACAAAACTACATATAGTATTATATATTGCACATTATGCATAATTAATCTATATTTAAAAAATAATTAAAATACTACATTTTCTAAAATTAAAACATATTTTTATATAATTTTAGTTAAACTTACAAAAATAAAAATTTAAAATGATAATTTCGACCGGTAATCCGTGCAACGCACGGATCCTTATCTAGTACTAATCTAAAATGAAGTAGTGGTGGTGGTTATTGAGTTATTTATATAGTTTTTGGAACAAGAGAATTATTTTTGAAAAGATAGGTTATTTATTGATGCAAATCTTTCTTGAATGTTTCAAATAATGGAAACCAAAAAAAAAAAGGAAAGAGAAATTAGTAATCAAAAAGTAAATGGGTAAAGAAAAAGGAAATCACCACCAATTAAGTAAAACCCATCGCCTGAGCAACAAAAAACATTATCTCCCCTCGTAGCTTCTTCAGTTTCTCGAGTCATCTCTAAGATAAGACGTTTCAAGTCTCTCAACGATGGAATGTAATAAGGAAGAAGCTAAAAGAGCAATGTATATTGCAGAGAAGAAACTTTCTGAGAACGATTACAATGGTGCAAAGAAATTCATTAACAAGGCTCAGAATTTGTATCCAACGCTCGATGGTTTGAAACAAGTTTTGATGATGATCAATGTTTATATCTCTGCATCAAACAAAGAAGGAGGAGAATCTGATTGGTATGGAATCCTTGGTGTAGATCCTTTAGCTGATGACGAGACAGTGAAGAAACATTACAAGAACTTAGCTCTTTTGCTTCACCCGGACAAGAACAGGTTTAATGGCGCAGAAGGTGCGTTTAAGCTGGTTTTAGATGCTTGGTCACTACTATCTGATAAAGCTAAGAGAATTGCATATGATCATAAGAGGAAACCAGAACAGAAAAAGAGCGAACCAGCTTCGTGTAATAAGCCTGCAGAGCCTGCTTCTCCTTCTTCTTCTTCGAAACCGGTGGACGTGACCTTTTCAACAGTGTGCAATAGATGCACAACGAGATATTGTCAGTTTTCGAGGAAGAATCATCTTAACAAGACCTTCCCTTGTCCAAACTGTGGTCAGGATTCGGTTACGACCAATATGTCAACAGAGGTGATCAATGGGAGGATATTCGTCAGATTCTCAGTTTCTCCCCAACAAGAAGAACAATTGAGTGCCAATTCTCAAGCAACTAGCAAACGTAGCTCACGTGATGATGATGCAAACTCTACTTATGAAGCTCAAAGGCTTTTCAAGAAACCAATGACGACAACAACAGGAGATGCAAACTCTACTCATGAAGCTCAGAGGCTTTTCAAGAACCCAATGACGACGACAACAAGAGATGCAAACTCTACTCATGAAGCTCAGAGGCTTTTCAAGAACCCAATGACGACGACAACAAGAGATGCAAACTCTACTCATGAAGCTCAGAGGCTTTTCAAGAACCCAATGACGACGACAACAAGAGATGCAAACTCTACTTATGAAGCTCAGAGGCTTTTCAAGAAACCAATGACGACGACAACCAGAGATGCAAACTCTACTCATGAAGCTCAGAGGCTTTTCAAGAACCCAATGACGACGACAACAAGAGATGCAAACTCTACTTATGAAGCTCAGAGGCTTTTCAAGAAACCAATGACGACGACAACCAGAGATGCAAACTCTACTCATGAAGCTCAGAGGCTTTTCAAGAACCCTTAGATGAATGTAATTATATCATATAATGTGAAACAATTAAACGTTTTATTGGTAAAAATGGTTTCAAATTATCGGTTTGGCTTGTTTGGATCACAGATAAATTAGCTACACAATCCATAATCCCTGCCAAAAACGCTATCAAGTAATACCCATTCTCTACACTAATCTTCTTTCCACATTTTCTCAATCGCTTTTTCACTAATGTTTCTTCCAACAACCAATTCGTCAGGCATGGACTGGCCTCGCACCAGAAGAAAGCTGCACATTCGCGGCATATTCACGCGCCCACAAGTCATAGTGAACAATCTCTTCAAGAGACGGTGATGTTATCAACTCGTTTCGATGTTTATCGCATGTTAATTCCACAACCTTGAAGATATCTAAATAGCTTATCCTGAAAACAAAAGTGAGAATATAAACAATTGTGATTCGTTTCAAGAATTTCATTGAGATGCCCAAAGAGAAAACAAATTCTTACTTTTCATCAATGAACATTTCAACGGCTTTCTCATTGGCGGCGCTGAGAACTCCAGTCATTGTGCCTCCAGCTCGTCCAGCAGCATAAGCAAGATCCATGGATGGGTATTTCACATTGTCTGGTTTCTTGAAAGTCAATGAACCGAGTCTGCCAAAATCCACAATTATAATCAACTTTTGGTTTTAGGTGCTGAATGCTGATAGATAGGGGTGTCTAATCCGGTTGAACTGATCCAAACCAAAACAGTAGCAAAATAACAATTGCAAAACCAAAATGAAGACCGATTGCAAAACCAAAATGAAGACCAATTGCAAAACCAAAATGAAGATTCGGTTTCATTTTTATCTTATCTAAACAAACTAAAACCAAACCGAAAACAAGATTGGAGAATTTTCTTGGTGGTGATTAAATCTTCAACTAAGTTTAGCTTCACATTTGATAAACAGAGAATATATAAATGCGGTTTGCTTACTTGCAAAGGTCTAGTCTTGGCCAAGTTACTTCAGAACAAGGAACTCTATCGGGCCATGACATGGTGTAGAGGATCGGTAAACGCATATCAGGCCAACCCAATTGAGCAAGCACAGATGAATCCTGTGGAACAAAATAAATCTATGTTATACAGATTTTTTTTTAAAACCGAAAGACAAATAATTCAGTTATTTATTTTTCAGACCTGTGTTTCGATCATGGAGTGTATGATACTTTGAGGATGAATGACAATCTCTATATCGTCATACTCAGCTCCAAATAAATAATGAGCTTCGATGACCTCAAGACCCTGTTTCAAGAAATCAAGAACTCATCTACCTTGATCAAAGGTACTTTTAAAATCAGAGTTTAACTTGAGGAGAAAATAATCTTAACCTTATTGAAAAGCGTAGCTGAGTCCACAGTGATTTTCTTTCCCATGTTCCAGTTTGGATGCTTCAACGCATCCGCTACCTTAACTTCCTTGAGCTTTTCAACAGGCCAATCCCTATTTCATAATTCAGTGAATATTTTCCATTAACCAAATGAGAGTTGAGGAAAAAATCTATGCAGAGAGAAGAATACCGAAACTAACCTAAAAGCTCCACCAGATGCAGTCAAGATTATCTTGCGTAGAGCACCTTCAGGCAAACCTTGAATACACTAGAGAGTAGAGAACATAAAAGAAGAAATTTCACTCAAATTGCCAGAGGTAGAAATTGCATTAAGACCAATACTTAACTCAATATGAAAGTTGAGGTACTTCAATTCTACTTGATTTATATGATACCTGAAATATGGCAGAATGTTCTGAATCTGCCGGAAGAATCTTAACATTATGTTTGTTGGCAAGCGGAAGCACGAAAGGACCACCTGCGATTAATGTCTCTTTGTTTGCAAGAGCAATGTCTTTTCCTGCTTCAATTGCAGCAACCGTAGGCTGCAAAACAAACAACAAATTTTATCATCTTTAACTTTCTTTTTCATATTCTCTCAATACAGTTTTAGTAACAAAAACTAGAGTATATACCTTAAGTCCCGCACAACCTACTATTCCGGTAACAACAGTTACAGCTTCAGGGTGTCGGGCAACCTGTTGATGAACATAGGTAAAAACCCGATGAGGATAGAAATTTTGTGAAAATCTACACTAGAATCAAAACTAACAAATGTACTAACCTCAATCACTCCTTGCTCCCCTGGAATTATCTCGGGTTTATAGTCCAGATCCGCTAAAGCCTCTTTAAGCTCATTGATCAATGACTCGTTTCTAACAGCAACCAACGCAGGCTTAAATCTCCTTACCTGCCACAATTCAAAAGACTGTCACAGAACCATAATACAGAGATTTCTTCATATCACAGAAGTAAAAACCTAAGCCAGAACCTGATTCTCTGGTTTGATCTGATACATAACTAGTTTATAATATCCTGCTTATGATACTACAACTGAATTGAGAATTAAATTGAATTCCAAGTGGTCTGAATGACAAATTGGAGAGACAAAACACTATAGATTAACACACGAAGCCAATATACCTGATCAGCAAGTAGAGTAACATTCGAACCAGCAGCTAGAGCCACAACTCTAAATTTGTCAGGATTCTCAGCCACAATATCCAATGTCTGCAAAATGGAAGTTCTTCTCAATAAAAATGATGCAACAATAACTCAGTAACAATGCAGACAGTAAGAAAAAAACTCATTCTTCTTTGATCCTAGTCATTCATAACACAAATATAAAGTCTGATCCTACTCAAGAACTGCACAATAATGCCTTAATCTAACTTCATGGAACTAAACTCATCTGGCAAAGAGTAAGGAAACAAGAAACAGATATAAAACCTGAGTGCCAATAGAACCAGTAGATCCAACGATAGAGATGGGTTTAGGTCCATCCCAAGATTGACGAGGCGCCTCAGGAACAGCTCTCCCAGGCCATGCTGGAGGAGGTTGCTGCTGCTCCACTTTCACTGAACACTTGACACCTTTTCCAAAATCTCTCCCTTGATTCCTCCTCCTCAAACTAAACCCACCTGTGAAAATCTCCAAAGATGTAAAATTTTAAACTCTAGAAGTTAAAGCAACCCAAAAAAATTTCGAATTGAAGAAATTTACAGATACCCAGATGGAGAAATTCACAAGAGCCTAAGAAAACTAATGAAAGTTTGCAACTTTAATCGAAAAGAGAGTTGACCAAGGACGAGAAAAGAGGAGAAGAAACCTGAGATTTGAGGGATTGGATTGAACCTGGAGGTATCCAAGAAAGAAAAAGCTTTGGATTCAGCTGGAGATAGTGAGTTTAATGTCATCATCAGTCTTTTAAAAATCGAATATTTTCCAAGAGAACCGCACTACTAGTCGATTATCAGAGAAGAAGAATCAATCAGATAAACAGTGAGAGGACGATGATAAGAAACGAATATGGATTGGTAGGATCGTAATTTGAATGGTTCCATCAGATTTTTTTACCTTTTTTTTAAGATATCGTTGAATATATTCGACTTTTAGTAAGAGCGACCATTATTAAGGTAACGACAAGTTTCTAAGTGGTAAATAATCCGGTCTTATTATGTTCCCATTTTCTATTTGATTTTTGTAGTATTAAAAAGGAGAATATCATTAGTTAGTAATTACTGTTATATACATAGGTTGTCAATGCATTACAAGGGATTTTTTTTTAGGATTTTTCTCTTAAAAATAAAAGAAAAAGTTTATGGTATTATAAAAAATTAAAAACCCACAATTAAAGTGTGGTAATTGATAAAATGTCTAAATTGACAACCCTTTATGAATGTTTGATATGATATCTTATTATACTAAATTATATATGCTTGACTAACATGTTATATGTTGTAACAAAATTACAATCCACATGTCAAATTTAGTTTATATCTTGATTCTTGACATGTATATTATATTTTGTTTAGATGTTGACATGTATAAAACAGTTTGTTATAATTTAATTGAAATTTTCTTACGTATAGAATTTTCTTATGTGTAGCAATATATTTCACTTTTTTCACTATCATTTTTTTTTATATGTTTCTTAATGTTTGAATTTGTAAATTTAAAATTCAAAAGCCATGTAATTTTTCTCAACTGAATTTTTTTACGTATAGAATTTTCTGTATCTCTCCGTCCTATGTTCGATTGGTCAAAACCAAAAAAAAAAAAAAATGTTCGACTGGTTAAATATTTAAAGTCTTCTTGTAGACTATTATTTTCTAATAAGATTATTCTTGTTTGAACGGTGCTCAGTTTTCTTTCTTTGGAAAGGAAGAAAAATTACCCCATAAAAAAGAAAAGAGAATTTACTATATTTAAATAGTGGTTGGTGGATACAGAGATACTGGTAAATGAGTCAGTAATTCATTAATGCTAAGGGCTTGTCTGACGACAAGTGTTACGTTAATTGACACATGGCAAAACAAGTGTTGGTTTCGGATTCCAATTCAATGTATATAATAATATGCATGCATGCCACTTTTTCTTTAAACTTCGGAAATCGGAGCCTGAATTATAATGCTTTTAACTATTGGCAACAAAAACACATAATTCCAATTCCAATTCCATTTTCAGGTCAACCTTATCGATATGGAGGGTAGCAACTCTCACTCGCATATTCAATTATCAAAAGAAAAAATTTCGCACCGGCAAAAGAAGCAACGTATGGAGAAGAATGAAACACGATCGGCTAAGTTGTTGGATCTAGATGTTCTTGACTGTCCGATTTGCTTCGAGCCGCTCACTATTCCTACCTTTCAGGTTATCTTTTGAACTTGCATGCATTTGATTTTGTTTCATGTGTTCCTTTGTTAGGCTTTGACTAGCTAACTCGTTTGGTTTTGCATTTCAGTGTGATGATGGACATCTAGTTTGCAGTTTTTGCTTTGCCAAAGTGAGTAGTAACAGGTGCCCTGGTCCTGGGTGTGATTTACCCATTGGTAACAAGCGATGCTTCTCAATGGAGAAGGTTCTTGAATCAGCCTTTGTTCCATGTCCAAATACTGAGTTTGGCTGCACAGAGAGTTTCTCTTATGGGAAAGTGTCAAGTCATGAAAAGGAATGCAACTACTCTCAATGCTCTTGCCCCAACCTCGAATGCAATTACACTGGCTCATACAACATCATCTACGGTCACTTTATGCGTAGCCATCTTTACAATAGTACGATATGTTCCTCCATATGGGGATATTCCTCTGTTGATGTCCGGATAAACATCAATGAAAAGGTTTTAGTTCTCTGGGAATCTCTTCAGAAACTATTGTTTGTGGTCCAGTGTTTCAGGGAGCGACATGGTGTTTATGTTACTGTTAGACGCATTGCACCATCTGCTTCAGAATTAAAGAAGTTCTCGTATTGTCTTTCGTATAGTATAGATGGACACAATGTTACTTACGAATCACCAGAAGTGAAGAGGCTTCTTGAAGTAAATTCTCAAATCCCTGATGAGAGTTTCATGTTTGTCCCTAACTGTTTATTGCGTGGTGAAATGTTGGAGTTGAAGCTTGGCATCAAGAAGTTAATGCAAAAGTAACTAAAGCTAGTTTGGTTTGGGTTTTTTTTTGTTAAAAAGAAATTCTGTTTAAGAACCTTTGTACTTTTGTAGTACTCCACTCTTGAATTTATTGATGTTCGTTGTTGTTTTGAGCTATAATCCAAAAGATTTCTGGTTTGGTTCCGGTTCCGGTTTTGTACAGTTGGAAATCATTTTGAGTAATATATAGTAGGATTTATACTAATGTTCTTGTTGATAAATGTGTTATTACAGAGGCTACAAAGCCTGCTAATGAGGTCCAGCGAGCTATGGATCAAATTCCTTTCGCACCCTAGAGTTAGGGGCTCTTATACATAGAAGATCTTTTCTTGAAAGGAACGGTCTTATTACTAAAGAAGAGATTGACGATGCATTTAGCCGTGTTTCTGTAAGCTTCATCCTTACTTCTTAACATGGTTAAGTCTGAAGACAAATGTTACGTTAATTTACTCTAATGCTTTTTTAAAAATTGAGATATACCTTATTATTTCTTCAAAATGACATTTTTGTTCTTAATTAATAATTAAAAATTCAGAAAACAAAAATAAATAACTGATAAATTAGCTAGCTTTTACAATTTTTTATTTAAAATTTTAAATTAATATACTCAAAAGTATTTTTTATTTTCTGCAAATCTTAGATAATGATGAAATTAAAACTTATAACTATGATCAAAAATTATAAATTTTAGTTCTATAATAAAACTTATCTAGATTTTGGATTGATTTAGTATATATTTTGGATAGTTATTAGTTTAATATTCATTACCAATTTTATAATTCAAAAATATTTTTTATATATTTTTTCATAGTAATATTATATATATATATATATATATTTAAATACACTATATATTTTTAAAATAATTACGACTATAAATTATATAATTTAAATTTAATTATTCTAAACTAAATTATTAATTTTAATATTATAACTAAAAATAATTATTTTAATTTTAAAGAAAATAAATCAACAGTTGACAAAATAAAAAAAATCAATCAACGAAAATATAAGTTCACTAACTTGCTTATGTAGAACATATATAAGAGCATAGTGAAAGAGCAAACATTTATAATAACCGCACGTCCGCACCCATTACCGTGTAGAGCCTATTCTCGATAAGAATCCCACCAATGAATAGAATTAGTCCTCCCAAAAAGTAACAAAAAAGTGCCCATATTGCATCTTTAATTGAGCGACATAGAGATTTTCCTTTTATCATTGATCCGTTGAAAGATAATACATCAGCAACATAAAAGACAGAAACAAATACGACCATTGCTACATATAACTTGGTACTCGTCATTTCTCCCGTTAGCACAAAGTAACTGGGAATCGCAATGGTGCCTCCCATAAGACTTGTAGGAGAAGCATGTTGTCCTTTAGGAGATATCTGACTTTGGCATAATGTTCTTCATCATTATAATATACCTAAAATCATTCAATGCAAAAATCCTTATATCTGAAAAGAAAGACTAATTAAGTACTTAATCAATCAAGAAAATAAAATAAAATTAAAAAATTAATGAAAATATAATCTAGTTTTTGAATCATATATTTTGCCAAAACCTCTAAATTTGGTTTAACCTTTACTAAGGGTAATCTAATCTTTAGTGATAATTTTGTACAAAGGTCTAGATAGACTATTCTAATTTTAAATGTCCCTTATTCCAATTTTTCCTAAGCTAATCAATCAAGACACATAAGATCTAAGTATACAGTGATTTTCTAAGTTTAGGGGTGTTATTGGTTTATTAATTTGTAAATCTTTTGAAAATCTTAATTAATTATGAAATTAAGACATATAAATTTTGAAATAACATGTATTTATCCATTGATTTGAATTCTTCTATTTTCTCTTTCAAATCCATTTAAAACATAATTTGGATTTTGAAATCCAAAAACAAATGACTAAATGAATAACAGAAGATTTTAAGTAGTATTTATAAATCATAGAACTAAAAACAAATAATTTTTGTTTGGATTTTCAAATCTTTATAAATTGATGCACCAATAACCCCAAAATCAATCAATACGATACCAAATGAGCCCATTTGTATTCCAGAATGCTACACATATAATAATGATCAATGATCAATCCATGGGAAGAGCGAAGAGTGGAGGACAAACCTGATGATCTTCTAACAAGAATTTGGCATAAAGCCCTAATCTTAGAATTTGGCATAAATTTTGTAATACAAATGGGCTCATTGGGTATCATCGTCCATACACATTCTAGGCCCAATAATATAATAGACCAAGAAAAAAAATAAAAACCAGACAACGCCGTTATCTCCTCTTCGTGTGACCACCACACATACATACCACTCACCAAACCAAAAAGATTAGACCCAAAAAAGAAAAAGAAAAAAAAAAAGGACCCTGGAATTTCCAAGTTAAAAACCTCGATTTGAGCAAAACCTGATTTACTCTCATCCTCATCGTTTTCTCGTCGTCATCTCACAAACGACTTATTCTCTCATCTTCGAGATTTATAGTCTCTTTCGCCGCTTGGATTCTTCCAAGGTTGGTGAGCTGCTATGGCAACTCATCAGCAAACGCAACCTCCTTCCGATTTTCCCGCTCCTGCCGATGACAATTCCCAGATTCCAGGTTCAAATTACAGCTTCTAATCATTATTTCTTGGTTGATTCCATGAACAAATTCTCAATATTTAGCCTGGTGATGAACTATTACGTTTGGATAGTTACTGATTTTGATTCAACTATTGGTGATGAATGTTCAATTACACCAATACCAAAGTTTTAAATCTTGAAAAATATTGATTCCTATGTGATATATAATTGATGAAATATTGGATATATTCGTTTAGAGTAATACATAGTAGGATTTATACTAATGTTCTTGTTGATAAATGTGTTATTACAGAGGCTACAAAGCATGCTAATGAGGTTCAACAAGCTACCATAGCTCGGGAAACTGTTAAAC